GCTTTTTATTGTGGACTTGGCTGAGAGGGAATTGGAACCTTTTAAAATAAGTACCCCGCTGTGGGAATCATTTTATTATTATTTCTTTTCTATAAATAGTATTTAAGTTTAGTTATTCTACATTATTAACTGTGTAACTGGTTTTGGGATAGAGTTATTTTTGGGGTTTAAGTTGGTCTTGATTCCCAAAATCAGCTACTCTTGCAAGAGTTTAGGGCAATCTTAATATATTTATAAATCTTGAAGATAAGTTATTATATATTTTTTCGGCTTTATTGAAATTCTACCTCTTATTATTTATGTTTACCCTTACACAAGAAGTCTCACTAAAGAGAATAAGTTTAGTAATTTAGTATTGTCTTTAAATTTTCCATCGCCGCTCCAATTACTTGGCGCCGGGTTAAATAATAATTTTCTTTAAATTTGTATATAAACCACCCCATATACTGAGCTGAGCTAGGCACTTATAACTGTTATTATTTGATGCAGCAAAAGAAACGTAACAATATGTTACTTAATCTCAATGTTTTGTCATTTAATTTTATAAAAATAAAATAGGTAACATGTAGGTACATTCACCCTTTTTTAACAAGTCTTCTTGTAAACAAAATTTATTATGATAATCTTGACTTTCCTTCCCTCACACTCTCGCTCTCCTTAAGGGATTCCCGGCCATTATAAATTTGAAGGATGCTGACCTAATCAATTGTGTATGTTCTTTTTATCGCTTATTGTGATTGTAACATGTACAGAAATTGTTCATTTTGAAAAAATATAACCTTTTCAAAATGTATCTTATCTATACCTATGTAAAGAATTTAAGTACAGGTAAGTAACTACTCACACTTCTCCACCCTGGAAAGGAGGATACCTCCTATAGCAGGGGATTAGGAAAATAAAATTTCCTAGAAAAATGTAAAAACTAATATTCAATATTAAACTAAAAAAGAAAAAAACTAACTCACAATCATTTGTAGACAAGCACTGAAGTTGGTTTAAGAGCAAATCAGACACCTCGAAAATTTATAATTTATTCTGAGCCTTTATTTTTAGTCCGTTTTTTGTGAAATTTTCAGGACATACCAATAATAACAAAACTTAGGGCGGAGAAACCCTATTTATTTTGAAACATTTTAAAAAGAATTAAAAAAAAAATTTACATGCTAATCTATATAAAATCTATAAAAATTTACTGCTTTTTGTTTTAATACATATTTGGTAGTTTTTAAATGAAATGCTTTCCACATTTTTTTCTTAAACGTCTCTGTAGAGTGCTACCTTATCGTTGCACAAACTTAAAGCTCTCAATATTGTCAAGACACATAATGTCACGAAGTATTCCCAATGGCACGCATATAAATATAATTTTATATTAGAAAATCCTTAAAACATTTTTGCTTTCGGGAGAGGTCCGGTTTCCTCTTAAATAAATTTTTCACAAAATACGGGGTTTTTATTGCTAATTTAATCAATAGTTAATAAGCCATAAATCTACTACCAGGTCTTCAACAATACCCGAAACCCACGTGATCAAATCGTTATGACAGAGAATGGTGAAAATAATAGTAAAATTGAGCAAAGTAGCGAAGAGAAAACTGAAGAAAGACCTCCAAAGGCTAAGAGGTTGCCAATCATAAACTGAAAAAGCCGATACAAGCGAAGCTCAGATTTACCCAAAAATCTTGGACAGGGCCGCCGAGAGCCAGGCCGGGCTGGGGCCCTGGGGGACAATCCTCTAGATCGGGCCCCGTGACAAAAAAAAGCTCTTCAGACAAAAACTTTTCCTCTTCTAGTTGAATTGAGTTTCTAAAATTCTTTCTCTGCTGCTATTGCTTTTTCTACAAACAAAAAAAAAAAAAAAAAAAAAAACAGCTCCCCAACCAAAAACTTCCCCCTCTCGTCTTGTGTCGAATTTCTCATACAAAACAAAAAAAAATCAGTTGTCGGGCCCCCTTTATACCACTGCCGGGCCCCCATCATTTGAGTCCGGGCCCCGGGAATTGGTTCCGGCTACCCCCCCTCTAGTCGGCCCTGATTGTATATAGTTTAACTAAATGATTACGTTTATTTAGATTAAATTTAATATATTCATTTGTGATACGAAGTTTGTAATACAAACTGTCAAGAGCTGAATTTAGAATTATTATTATTATTATTATTCAATAATTGAAATTTTTAGAGACAAATTATTGATAAAAATTAAGTGTGGGAACGGAGGGTTAAAAAATGTTATGCATAAAGAACACAATTAAAAATTATTTATTTTAGCTTGGTAGCAACTGCAGATCATTTAGAAATTAGAAATCAATTTAAAATTTACTTTATGAGATGGAATTGTACATGGGCAATATGGGACACAATAAACAAATACAATTTTTAATTTGTTTTTATTTATATAAAATTAGTAGGTATCTATAAAATTAAAAATTTATTTTGGAACATGCTGCTAATTTTTCATGTTAAATTTGTTTTTGTTCATTTAAAATATATATCAAAAAAATGTAACGAAAAGGCATATATAAGGAATTAATTGACATTTGATAACAACATGAACTTCAATAATTTATTTTAAAGGATAATTTGATGTTGTACAAAGAATATACATTCATAGTAAGTATTCAAAATGTTCACCATCAGCTTCAATGCAAGCATTAACCCTTCTTTTCATGTTTTCGAACACATTATGCAGTTGCTCCTCAGTTACACTTTCAATTTCATTAACTTTTAACTATAGCTTGCTCCAATTCATTCACATCATGCAAATGATTTCTGAATACTTTATTTTTTATATGACCAAATAAAAAGTAGTCAGGGGGTGTGAGGTCTGGAGATCTTGGAGGCCATAATCCTTTACTAATAATTCGGTCATCAAAATATTCTATTAGTTCAATAGTAGCTCTAGCTGTATGAGCTGTTGCCCCATCTTGTTGAAAATAACCCATTTGTAGCTCATCATCCTGTAGCTGTTCAACAAATTCAAGAAAAATATTTCGATAACGTTGGCCATTAATTGTGTCATATTATTCTTCTCTTTGAAATTACTATATACACAAATACCAACTTTTATGGGATGTAGACTTGTCTCCATAAATGAATGAGGATTTTCAGTTGCCCATGTTCAATAATTTTGACTATTGACATATCCTGATAAGTGCTTCACCAGTAAAAAAAGTTTGATCCAACAAGTTATTGTCATTTAATTGTTCATTGACAGTATACCATACGTTTAACAAAATCACCAGGAAACAATTGTTGCAGTACTGAAACCTTATAAGGATGCATTGATAGATTTTTTTCAAAATCTTATGGCTAGTTCCTACAGATAAATCTAAAACAATGAAAATAGATTATAAGAGAGTCAAGCTCCCAAACACTGTTCTTACCTGCTTAAGCTGCTAATTTTTTCACCGATTTATTGGGACTTTGCTCCATGCGAATTCGCACATCTTGAACAACATCTTCGGTTATTACTGTGGGCCTTCCAGACCCCTTTCCTTTACAAATGCAATTTTTCATTTCAAAACGTTGAACAAGAATGTGTCTATGATGACGAAAACTATCATATTCTATTTGTACCTACAGCTGGAAAACGTTCTTCAAATTGTTGAATGCAACTCTGAATTGAATATGACCAAGTTCCATCATCATTTCGAGATCCACTTCTAAAATGTGCCATTACAATAAAAGAATCTTGTTCCTGTGTAAACATTTTGAGCTGAAAATTATATTGTCAATAAACTTATATAAAAGTAAATAAATGTACACTTACCGATAGAAAAGAATAAAGGCACTAATGAGCTCTAAAAAGAACTGAATTAATAAAAGCGTGTAAAATGCAAAAAATCAGTCCCCTTTAAATATCTAATATAAATATACCCAAAAACCCAAATGAACGCTAATGATATTTTTGACAGTATTGACAACGACAGCTGACATATAAGGAACCAAATCAGGTCCTTTCGCTGCGTTTTTGATGTTACCAGATCACGTGGGTTTCGGGTATTGTTAAAGACCTGGTACCTAGTAAAAACATATAAGGGCTATAAAAACCTATACCTCGTGCAAGTAAGAAAACATTTATTAGATAGATATATAAAATATATCAGGCATGCCAAATATTTAATAAAAGTAGATATTACTTTCTTTTAACGATTAGGTATCTACCTACCTACATATTTCAGATAAATACTTAGGACCGATTCCACCGTTGTGTTAAACGAAGTTTAAATTATATTTTTACATTAACAATGTCATTTTAATCTCCGTTTAACACATCGGCCCTTAGATACCTAAGTATATTCACAAAAAAATTAAATACCAAAGTACCTAACTACGTTAGGAAACAACTTTGTTTAAAATTTATTTAATACCTCCCTCAATAGCATTTTATGCTTAAATGTCAAAAATAATGCATTTAAACCACTAGATACCTAAATATCAGTTATTGTACCTAATTAATAGAAATAAAAACCGAGCATTTAACCTGTTACACATTCGTCACGCTGAATTCCAAAATGAAGGTCGTGCAAAAGAAAAAAATTGTGTAGGTACTTAAAATAACTGCTGTCTAATAATTTTATAATTTGTAATGAAAGTGAAGGATCCGCAGTCTGGCACAAAAACTCCAAATCATCGCCATTAATATAATACCATCATTAATAGCATAAACATGCTTCTGAAAATAACACCTTCAACTCGAGCATTAATAATTTGCCAAAGTGAGAAAGTACCCGACAAGTACCCTCAACTCTCACTAATAAAGAGCTTGTTTACAAAATAATAGATGCCACATACTCACTTGATCCTCCACTCTATAATTTCTAGTGGATTCCGTTCAACATGCGCACTAGGGCGTCCCTGATAAAAATCGATGGGCGGTCCCCGTAATGAATGGCAGCCCAGCCTATTGGTTGTCAAGTTCTAGCTCCGCCCTTGTCGGCATTATACAGAAGGGGAACCGGTGATTTTCTAGTGTTCCTCTTACCAGAAACAGTAAGTAATGGGAATTCAACAATAGCAGTACCAAATATTGTGTTGTGTGCGATTGTTTAACGCGATTTTGATAGTTTTCGTTGATGTTACCTGATAAAAAGTGACTTTTTGTATAGAGACCATGCTTACCGATATGACGCCCACAGCGGGGCAATTTTATGGTGCTCAGATACCGGCCATGACTATGAACGTTAAAACAGCTGTGAGTATTCACCTATCTTTTTTAATTCCATAACGACGAACAAAAAAATCTTCAACGAAATTGTACAAATATTGGAGCAATATCAAATTTGTTCGTATTTACCAAAATATGGATTCAATTTACAATTTATACGATTGTACTTTGGATGAGAATAATATCAGAAATCCGTACCTAAATCAATTTTCTGCCAAAATTAATTTATCAAAATCCTAATCTACCTATCTAAAACCTTTAATGTCAAATGAAATGTTAAAAATATCTTTATTTATATTGTTATGGTCCAAATAACATTTAAATTGTTAATAGTTGTGTTCTCCTAACTTTTTTTACCACCTACATACATCTTTGTCATTGAATACTTGAAAGTACCTAGGTACCTAGATAAATATATTTTAATTATATCATAAGAGATTCTATTTTTTAAGTAGGGGTGTACTGATGGAAATTTTGTATCTTTAACGTCAAAGAAACTGTCCAAGGTCTAGGTACATTTTAAACTCAAGTATCTGCCTAGAATAGACATTTTTTATTTCCTTATTACAAAGTAGGTACAAGACCTAAGACTAGCAAACATGTGGCCATAACCTTCTGACGTGTACCGAATAATGTTCTTTTTTTTATCATTGAGACGCATAAAAGATTCTATTTTTTAAATAGGACAGGACTGAGGTCAATTTTTTGTCTTCAGCTTCAAAGAACCTTTTTGCATTAAATACCTATATTCATATTATTAGGTTAGCTACACATAGATACCTAAGTTTTAGTTGATACCAAAAGCTTTTAGATCAATTATAAAAAAATATTTATTGTTAATTCTTTCATAGAATAACTTTATGTTATTGGTATAAAACTTATGGAGCCTGCGCCGATTCTATTGAGGCATTTCTATCATCTTGGGGTGTCGCCAAAACTGCACCCACATATTTTTGTTAATAAATAGGTATTATGTTGTACCTACCTTTCGTAATTATTTCTTAATGAAATAATTGTCAATTTAAATAACATCGTTTATATGCTTTATAAGAACACGACAGAAATAAAGAAATGCTGATAGCTGATTATTTATTACCTATTATTAACACATAATAAAATAGAAAGATAAATCATGTTTATTGTGATCTTTAATCATGAAAAAATATTTATACAAGGAAATAAATTTTATTTCTCAAAAAAAAAAACATTTTATGTGTTAATAAGTGATAAATATTGGTTTAATAGAAATATTATCTCTAGGTAAAATCTAACGGGTCTATAAAAACACTTTGCTAGTGTAGTTAATGATCATGGAAGTACCTAACATATAACGTATGTAGTTAGGTACCTATATTAAGTTATATAATAATGTTCTAGATGTCTTTGAACTTTATTATACCGATACGATTTTTTTTAATTGGGTCTCAAGCAATATATAAAAAAAATAGATACCTATCTATTTATAACTTTGATAGATTTCACACTAACCCTGGATTTTATCATCTATAGGTAGGTATCTAAGCAGAAATGTATTATACATTTTGGCAAATTAATATTTATATTTCGACATTGGAACATAAATAATTACTTATTTATATGGGTAAATATGTTCTAGCAACAACCAGTAGGCTTTCTAGTAGACTTTCTATAGCATTAAACCTTTTCATAGTTCTGTCAACCATTTGTAATTGTATCTTTGTATAGGTATCCATAATCTCGATTTTCAGTATTGCTCTTAGTCAATGTCTTCCTGAAGACTCTTTTTCCAATGAATTCTCAAAATTATATTTACAGATATTCTGCCAACGTGTTTACAATCGTACCTATATATGTATCTACATATTTTTTAGAATTATCAGTTCTCAAGGTCTACAATTAAAAGGCAACTGTTAGTCTATGTAGATCTACCTAAAATAGATATTTTTTTTTATCTCTAATATAAAATAATAAATATCTAAATATTAATCAGATACCTACCTATACCTAAATAATAATAAAGTAAAAGTATGGCCACTTTTAAGGCTTGCATAAATACCTAAAATGTGGAAAATTCAAGAAATATGAAATGTACCGAATAATTTTCTTTTATAAAGATTTACAAAAAAAATATTTTAATTGTTACTAAACACAAGTACCTAGGCATACAATGAAAACAAACTGAAAATTTCGTTGCCCTTAAAATGTTATTTTTAAAATACTAATCAAACAACACGTGTAATATTTTAGGTACCTAAAGAATTTATATAGGTATACAACGATTACACTTGCACTGGGTCATTTTCTCTTTGCCTGACAAATTATTATTCGTGTAAGTAAATTAAATTAAAAAAAAACTGAACTGTAATGTAAAGAGGAAGCAAAATAATTGAAATATTCATCAATACGTAATAAGTTCTGGTAATTACAGCAACAAATGTCTTGATACCGCCAAATAACCGTTTACAAAAACTTGGGAACGAATCGTCGGTCTAACTACGAAATGACACATAATAGTCCTATAATTTGTATCTAAATTACACAAAACAACTTTGTCTTGCCACAGAAACAAAAAAGATTTTATTCTTTAATTCCGCTATTATCCGAACTTACTGTTTATTTTATTTATATTAAGTTGGTAAAGAAAATAACATCATTATTGACTGGGACAAAACAAGAATAGGTGAATTATTAATCTTTTAATTCGTAATTGAGCTATTAGCTAAGGTAATTTGTATAAATATATTATTCGGTTATTATTATAATTTTGTTGAAATTAGTTAGGTATGTAGTAAAATATTCATCACCTAGGTACCTTACGTGATTATACCTATTTGCAAATTATTGCAGTTTTAACATACCTATTTTATCTTAACAAGGTTTGCAAGTGGCTTTACGTGCTTTATGTACATTAAATTCATTATTATCGCTACAAAAGCAATTTTTTATTTCATATTTTACCTACCTAGGTATTCACTTTACTACACTGAAAAATAAAATTTCACGATAGTCCTTCGTATCTTATTCTGAATTTGCATTAATGTCAATGTATTTTTTAGTATTTCTTCTTATTTGTATTCACATCATCTCCTTTTTGTAGTAAAGATCATATTTGTTTATTTGTGGTTAGGATAATATATTTTTATTAAATATCCATTTGGTACCTACTCAAAATATTATTATTTTACAGCAAAGGACGGCCTACCTAGTTATATACAGGGGAAAGTAATAAATTTAATTTTTTTTTATTACATTATTACGCTGTATTTTTTAAACGATTAAACCTATTTATACACCCTGTAGGTATGTAGATATTCCATAGCCTATACTAAACAAAATACAATTGAAGAGATTATCTTTGGATTCATAATCATTTTCTATTTTCTACTTTTTTATCATATGTATTTTCTTAGTTAATTTTATATTATTTAAAATGCCTTGTAAATAGGAAACTGTTGGGAATTAAATGCTTTTATTATTATTTAATATATATTATTAAACTGTCAAGGATATATTCTAAGTTGATATTTTTATAAATATGCATACAAATCGATAAAATAAACAACTTTAAAAAAAAATCAAAACAAGAAAGATCAAAAAATATAAATCCGTGCATGGGCTGGTGTATGAAAAGTTACTGTTAATAATAAGTCTGCTTGTTTTTACCTTTATTTGTTTTATTTTAAATCACGATTTAATTGTGGATTGGTTATTGTAATTTAGACGATTTTGATTTCAGCAGCATATTTAACTGAATTAGTGAATTTAAATTCTTTAGATGGGTACCTATATTGAAAATGAAGTGAGTTAAGAAAACAAATTTAAATTGTTAATGAGGAAGATCAAACGACAAGTAGGTAAGCGGGTAATTGCAGATAAGGTGGGGAATAAGTCAAAGAAAAGTGTGAACAACATTGCACGAAAATTAATGTTGTCCCCTTCACGTTCAACGTATTCAAGTAGAAGCACCTTAAATATTTTTCCTGCAAAGATGTTTTGTGAATGGTTTTTACAACGGTATGAATGTTTAATTTTTCGACGAAAGTTCTACACATTATTTAAGTTAAACACAGCCATATTGGATACATTTTAGAATAAATTAATGTAAGTTTCTTATTTTTGAGTTTATTTGAAAAGTTTGTTTATTTCAATGACTTCTATACACAGTTAAAAAAGTATTAACTTGGGATTCACCCTGTATAAAAATATGGTGTCTAGCATATTATGGCGCTCCTGTAAAGTTATCAAATATATTATAAGAAGAGATCATCTAATCAAAAAAATGTTTGAATATGAATTGAACAGGAAAATTATTCTTTTTTTATTGCAAACTAAAAAAAAATTGTAATTTTCCTCAAATTTCTGCGTTACGGTCCATTTAAAATAACTCCTATTAATATAATATTCTTCTATAATCATAAATAATAAAATTATACCTTAAGGTAGAAAAATGTTCCCATAAAGTACCCCTCACTATGCTCAAAATCTCAGTTCAACGGAAGATGGATTAAAATTAGATTTTTCTCTTTATCCGTTTTTTGAATTATCGTGGATACCTACTGATAGACATATAGACAACATCGCCAAAATGGTCAAAACGTATTTAGGGAACCCCAAAATATAAAGACTCTAGGAAAAAACTATTAAGTCGACCAAAATAAAGAAATAACAGAAAATTATACAAGAATGTATATAAATGCTTGTGTATTTCGAAAACTGTGCAAGATAAAATAGGTATGTACCTACCTATATAGGTATATCTAATGTAAATTGCCATTTTTTGCTGCATTTGTAAATTTGTTAATGTCCATTATTAATATATAATTTTGAAATTTTAAAAATTGTGGGAAATGAAAATAAATAGTATTACCAGGTTTAATACTTTTTAAATATTCACATAAATTCTTATTTCTTGGTGATCCATTTAATTTATTTATTTAGGTATTCTACGAGTACCTACCTATACCTATTAAACTAGACTGCCAATGATAAAAAAAAATCAACTGTTATTAGTTTTATTTTAGATTTTTGCTGTCTACATATTAGGTACC